CACCCAAGTTCCCAGAACTACGTTGCCATCATAAGTTACAATATTAGCCTCATGGTCCCAGACTCTTGTGATCACCCAATTCATGTCTTTATACCCTGGCAAGGTATATTGAGTCCTACCGATGGGGTGTATACACCGGACTCCACGTCTAGCTCACATGGTTATATGTCGGTTATAGACTCTCCCACTAGTTAGCTCATTTTAGTTTTAAATTAGTCAATTCAGTATCTCAGATTTAGGGCATATCCTTGACTATCAGATAGGGTCATTTAGACCACCTCAATTTATTACAGTTATTTCAGCTTCAGTAGTTTCAGTTGGTCATTACATGTTTGTTTTTTCCAATTACTTGTTCCATTGTGTTTTTCTCTCTCACTTACTCAGTACATTCAAAGTACTGACACATACTTTTATATTGTATCATTTTATGATACAACTGCAGGACCTCAGTCTCAACCTCGCTAGCCGATCACTCTCAGAAGACTTCAGCGTAACTAAGTGTGAGTCCTCATCTTTTGAGGACAAAGATTATTTTACTCAGTTTTGTTTTGTTCTATTTAGATTAGGAGTTAGCTGCGGGATTGTCCCAGCAACTCATCAGTTGTAGTGGCTTTCAGACGCAGATTTGGTTTTTCAGACTTGTAGTTTTGTTCAAATGTTTCCAAACATTATGAATCAGCTTCATTCTCTTAAATGTTTATATTTTTGCTTTAAACTTCCGTTGTATATATTTATATGTTACTCAAAATGTCAGTGTATGATATACCAAGGGTTAACTTGGGGTTACTTGTGACTCCAAGTATCGTGTCCCATCCAGGGTGTAAGCTCGGGTGTGACAGCCATAAGCACCGGGATTTCGCAGCGGCTCAGCGAGGCGAGAGTAGAGCCTCGGCCACTTCTTCAGTAGATCCAATAACCCATCCATTTCAGCAGGGTGCATCATCTAGCGCGGGTGGAGGACAACGTCAAAACCGCTCCTATGCCATAGCATCACACCAGGATAAGGGTAAGTCGCCAGTAGTAGTCACAGGTATGTTGTGAATTTTGTGTTACTCCTTGCATATTGCTAGCCCCAGAACCCCAATAATTAATAAGAAGCTCTATGATGTTGTTGTGAAGAAATTGTCGATGTGTGATGTGAATAGTTGCGAGGATAAGGTTTGTAGTGAATGTTAGAGGTGAAACAGAAACTAAGAGTTAATGATTTAGCCCCGACCTTGAGAAGGATTCAGGAGCCTTAAAATAATGGCTTTAAGCTATGGGGGAGATGGTAAGTATGTGAGACATGTCGGGTCTTGAGTATGATAGTGGGGGGAGTTCCAACCATAACAGTTGGGGTATGTCAATCCCTTCAGGTTCATGTAACCTCCCTTGTATTTCAGTTGAAGCTAAGTTATACCCATCCCTNCAACATTTCCTAGATAACCACTTCACACAACGATGCCAATCTTACTCTACAAATCTTTAAGGTTTATCTTTATGTTATGAATCGTCTATGTGTGTTAACTCATGTCTTCCAGTATGATACGCTCGAACTCAGTCTTTAGAAGTTTCTTTAGTACCTTAGTAGAATAAGGTTACCGCATGTGTGTGCGCTCAGTTATAGCTGTCATGAATGATTGGTTCTCATGAGTCCTTTACTTTTAGTTAGACCATATATCATGAATTCTGACCCCGTAACAGAAAATGATTTGAGAATGAAGGCTCAGTCCGTATCAGCTCAGTGTCAGTTAGAGGGAAAGAATCCTTCTCAGTGTTTTATCTAGTTCCATGTTAGTTTCATGTCTTTCAGTTCCTCTTATGTCCTAGCACGCATGTATGATTTAGATGTTCAGTTTAGATATGTAAGATAAGCCGGAGTCAAATACTCCATTATTTTCAGCTGTAAGTGATCAGTTTATGGATTTCAGTTTCATCCCTATCATTTCAGCTTCAGCTTTCATTATATGTCCAGTGCATGACCCTTATGCATGAGTTTGATGATGCTTCAAAATATGATTTCCAAATAAAAATTTCATGTCGATATATGTATGTAACTCAAAAAGGGTTGTTTCATTTTAATTCAGTTATATGTAGATGTATTCAGTTTATTTCCTTCTTGTATACTTGTATGTTTCAGTTTAATTACGTTTCCCACATGCTCAGTATATTTCAAGTACTGACCACATACTTTATGTGCTATATCGTTTCGTGATATAGATTTAGGTACCCAGACTCAGCCCTGCGGGTAACACACTCTTTCTTCCATCTCAGCGGATTGTGGTGAGTCCTCATCTCTCGAGGATGAGATCTATGTTTCTTATTTCGGTTATATAATAGTTTTCAGACTTTAGGAGTTAGCTGGGGACCTGTCCAAACAACTCATCAGTTTAGCAAAGGCTTTCAAAGATACGTAAGCAGATTCAGTCTATATACTAGTATTTTGTTAGATTATGACTTTTGTGTTTTAAATTTGAATCTTATAGTTAGCTTCCGCTCAGTTATGTTTCTATTATCTATTTTTATTTTTAAGGGTTATGCTATGATTATACCATAGATCGACTTGGAGCCTCTCGGGGTTCCTTGTCCCGTGTTACGACTAGGGTGTAAACTCGGGCCGTGACATGTTGGCTGCGTTTTGGCAATAACTTGGGCTGCTCTTAGGCAGTAACTTGAAGCTCATAAGGGTGGAGGTTTGTCTTAGCTCAGGTTCACCAAAAAATCCAAGGTATGTTATGATTGTCCCTCCCTTTGTTGGCATGAATTTCATAGCTGTAGTCATCGGTATTGACGTGTGTGTTGGCTGCTTTGTGAAGCTTTTTGTTATATTGTTATTTGACTCTGGTTCTTTTGTTTATATGATGATAAATGTGGGTATAAGGTTCTAATTTTGTTGGTGGCTCGGGCTTGAGTGCGGAGAATCTTAGTCATGGAAAATTATTAGGCTTGTGTCGAGAGGCCGTGTATGAGGCGTGTGGTTCTTGTAGAAAGTTATGGGCTGTTTGGGTGAATAATATTAGTGATGATATTCAAAATTTAATAAGGGTTTATAGTGGTTAAGGTCGATGTTTGCGACAATCTTTCATTATATTTGAATTAGTGGTCATGTCGACGGCACGTGGTGACACTTAGGTTGGTTTGATCATGTCCCTTGATGTTAGTGGTGAGTATAGTCACTTTTGGGATGCTTGTACAGCTTAGGGATACACTGGTTAGGATGGTAATCCTTGGCTCGGCTAGTGGCTCGTCGGTAGACGACTAGAAGTGAAAGAATAGTACTATGTTGTGATAGTCGGTTGGTGGGGTTTGAGAGCCGATTATGGGCTATTTGAACATGTATTGTTGTTGATGATGATTTTGAATGTTGTGATTGTGTGATTTTGTGTGTGTGTGTGTGTGTTTAGGCCCTTGGGATTCGTGGATACCCAATGCTGAGAGTAGATCCGGCCGCAGGATTGAGTCCAAGGGGTAGCACAATTGGCCTATGGTGGGGTTGAGTTTTCCTCATATAGGGTTGTTCTGAGACATGAAAGACTTATGAAGTGGTATATGCGTCCATAGCTCCATATATTTCTATTCTAAGACTTCTTGGGAT